GGTCTCCACTAACCACGGGCTCCGTGTCCTCCGCGGGCAGCGTCCCGCCGTTGTCCAGGAACTTGGAGAAGGTCTCCAGGTCTCTGGTGCTCTTGTACTCAATCATCTGGGGCAGGCAGGGGAGGAACACGAGACGTTGGGGCTGCAGGAATCCCGCTCTGCCAGCCAACCCCCAGGACCCCGTAGCCTGACTTCCACCCACCAGCTCCCATGCTAGGCCTGGACCAGCCCCATACGCTTTTGCCATTGCCAGCACTGGTCACTGCAGCGCGGTGGGAGAAGCCCCAGCAGGGAATTCTGGGATAGCCCACCCCAGGAAAGTCTCCTTCCGACCCCCCTCAGCGAGTGGCTCCCGCCCAGAAGCAGAGCGGTTGACGCTCCGCCAAAGCTCTCAGTTGTTTTTGTCTGTCTTGATCTAACCCTGGAGAGTGACGTTACCCAGAGCAACGTCCAGCCCCCATTGGAATCCTACAACGCTCTTGGCTTCAATCGCATCTTGTGGCAGTGAGTTCCGCCGGCTGCACCGAGTGCGAGAGTGTTCCCTGAGCTCACTGCTGGGGTCATTGTCCAGGTGAGGGCCTAGAATGGCTCCCTGCTGCCACCCAACTCCAGGAGAGACTCCCCTCTCCCCCCCCACACCCAGTGCTCCCCGGTCCCGGTGGGCCGTTCCCATCCCAGAGGCCCGTCTCCGTCCCAGCCGGCTGTACCTTCCTGCCGGGCCCCGCCGGGAAATAGTGCAGGGTGGGGTAGCCGTGGATGGTGAGATTCGCTATCTCGTTGGCCGTTGCGTCCAGCTTGGCAATGACGATGTTCTCGTGATCTTTGTACTTCTCAGCCAGCTCCTCCCAGACAGGCGCCATCTCCTTGCAATGTGTGCACCAGGGGGCATCTGCCAGGGAGCCAGGGGCAGGGCACACGGGCCTGGAGACTGGAGGAGCTGCCCAGGGCAGGGGCACCCAGCACAGTCAGGCTGGGCCAGCGAGGGCCTTTGCCCACGAACCGCAACGCTGTAGACGGCTGAGCGTGTTCTGGCCACTTGCAGTTATTCCCTCGTTGTGTGGGGCCACGGCGCCCCGCTCCCCTCGTGGTGTGGGGCCACGGCGCCCCGCTCCCCTCGTGGTGTGGGGCCACGGCTCCGTGCTCCCCTTGTGGTGTGGGGCCACGGCTCCGCACTCCCCTCGTGGTGTGGGGCCACGGCGCCCCGCTCCCCTGCTGT